CCAACGAACCGACTTGGTACATGTGCTTTGGATAATGTCACAAAAAAGCGAAACAATGTCTTCAGACCGAAGAATAATGAAAAAAAATCGCTCGGAGCTGGTGCGTCCAGCCTTTTATAACCTTTGCTGTGGACAGTGTCATCGAGATACAATAATATAATAAATTGATGACACTGAAGCACAACAGAGATTATACAAAAAAAAAGAAATAATAAAAATAGAAAATCAGCGGACAAAACCATAATCAAATAAAACTACGAATAATATAAAAATTTAAGAAATAATAACGGATTATAGCAGTCTCACGCCGCCCACTATCAGCAGGATAACAAGAAGCACTATCGCAAGCTCAAATTGCTGACAGTGGGATTATGTACACAGTCCTACCAAACTATTGCGCTGCACTTGGCGCGAACAGATAGCTTGCAGAAAAATACTATTCTGTAATCCTCGACTGTACACGAGATGTTGATCATCAAGAACAACTATCTTTTACACCACGATTTGTTAATATAAAGTTTAATTAGAAAAAGAAAAACATTTCATTGGATATAAAACGGTAGAAATTTCGACAGGTTTGAGTTTGACATACCTTCTCTTAGAGATATGAATATTCCTTTTCAAGATTGTTGTGGGAAGGGATTCGTTAATGGTTCTACTGTGAAAGGAAAAAAAAAAGAGTTCAAGCGACTTTTGTCAATGAATCGTCTTGCCACCTTCTTTCAATGCAACTGTCATTCTTTCTCTCTACCCCGTGGACCCATTGAAATTTATTTGTAATTTTTGAAATTTTGGTAGAAATACTTATTTTATATAAATAATATTTTGTAAAATAACATTTTATGAAATATATATATATATATTTAGTCCATTTTAATACTTCAAAATGCGGGTAAACCAATGTTAAAGTGCTATAAATCTTGATTTTTATAATTTACTTGCAAACCCGACATATAAGTAAAAAAATTTTTATTCCAAAAGTAATTATATATATATAGATGCTAAATTGTATTTTGGAAGTTTTATAATGGGTCCTGACAAACACTTAGTACAGAATCCCAGAATTGCAGGAAGTCTACGTGGGGCCCTTCTTGCTAGTTGTACATTTGTTCCGTTATTCAACTTATTATTGCAAACCGTGCGTTATAGAACTATGATTATTTACAATTTGAACCTACACAACGTTCTTAAACCAGTATTCACGTCTCTCGACGAAAATATACTTCGACCAATTATCAGAAGATGAAAAGTTCCCTTCAGTGAGACCAGAGTTACCGGGCGCGGGGTCAATATGCTCCCGCGCCAAAATGGATTCTAAGCGCGCAAGTGTGACGTTAAGATTTGACTATGATGTCCCTTCCTTATCAGGCAGATGAACAATATTTAAACCGAAAAATCGATGTGCCGTCATGCGCACTAAACGTAATTTTTTCAGGGTATAGTGGGGTGCGACTCTTGTCCTAAAACCTGACGGAGGCAAAATGATGGAGTGTGTAGCAGCCCATCCCGACTCCTCTCAATTTTTCAAAAGCGGTGACTTCATACGTTTTGCTGACTGGCGGTTCATACATCGTGCTAGATTGATCTTCGTTCACCTAATTGGCTCGTCATAGAAGACCGGAGACCACCGATGTCGGCGATGTAGGTATACAAACAGATAGCTTTGCACACGTCACATAGTGATCTGAAATCCAATTTATCCGATTGATACCTTTTAATTTTTAGTTTAAATGATTGTTTAATTCAAAAGTATATGTTTTGGGTATGTTGAATTTAATTTTGACATCTAGTCTAAGGAAAGGTGGCTAGGGGGAATTTAAGTATTTCAAAATGTGTGTAATTTGCATCTACTTATATGTTTAAAGGGCTGCTGAATTCAAATCTTGCATCTGTTTTGAAATTGGAACTTTAAAGAGGCTAGGTTGTGTTTTTATGAAAGTGTTACAAACATATTTTGTATATTTCACATTAAATATATTATTTTACTATATTATGAATTACACATTTCTAAAAATATATTATATATTTGCAATTTAGATTTAAATTTCGTTATTGTTTTCTTCAATCATTTTATCAATGTTTAATAATTCTGTATTGATGTTACTTCACTATCTATAACATCTTTGTTTGGTGTGTTGCTTATTGAGGAAATGCATGGATCTGAAGAAACTAATAACAAATGCAGAACATCTTCGTTTTGAGCTAATCGACTAATCGTGAATGATGTTTACGATTTTTTGTAGTCCTTATTTCTGTCCTCCTGCGCTTCCTCTGAATGTTGCCTGAACTAATATTTTCATTAATAATTTAAAATTATTAAATTTATATAATCACCTTTTTTTTATTCCATCTATCATTGTAAAAACTAAAGTATGCTTTATATTTAAATTATTTTCATCAATCCTTATAGTAAAGGGATCTACAATTTCGATTCGACCTTCAATAATTTTTTAACTATTCCAAAGTTCTTTGTGCAATTTTTTTTTTAACATATATTTAATTGGCCAACAAAATTTTGTTGATGAAGGCCGAGGATCTTTCCATAAAACTATTTTACTTAACTATTTTCAACATCACGCTGCAATTTATTGTAATAGAACCAAAGAAAATGAAAATAAATCACAATCCCATACTTCGTTCGCAGTATTCTTGCTTGTGCTTGCCCTGCCCACTACCTTCTATCATCACAACCCCATTTATATATAATTTCAAAATTATGCATACAGTTTTCTATTTTTGTCAGAGATGGGATTGTTAATATTCGAACAATTGTATGATCAAAAAGATCTTGTATGTTCATTTCACAAGATGTTTAATTAATTTTTATGTTTTTAGGATGACACTTATTTTTAAATTTTTTAAATTTTTAAGTATTGCTGATTGGTTAAATTGTTTTTCAAAAAAAAAAAATTAGAGCTTCATAATTTGTATGCGAAATGATTATCTGCAATGAATTATCGTACCCTGCTTTTAATTTTAATGCTCTAATGCGATTTAATTGACTCTTAATAAATTAGCTGCAATTCTATTTCCAGATGAATGTAGTGAAGTTTGTGTACCTTATAAAAATAAATAAAAATAAATAAATAGAACACCCCGTAATTTAAGTATAGTTATAATGTCGCATTGTTATAGTATGATCGAATATCGTTGTAATAGCTTTAGACGCTGTGCATGTGTACTACTAGCACTCTGGGGGAAAGGGGAGCGAGTGTGTGGGTTTTAATATCCGCTCGTGATATTCCATTCACACTATTGAACAACAGTGATCAATTACTTACCGTAGCTCGTTGTGGACGATGTCGACCGTGTAATAGTTACGCCGTGACGGTGACTCTGCAATGACGGTGTACTTGGCAGGCGGCTAGGCTTTACTGGTGGCGGCAGGCTTGCAGACGGCTCAGCTCCACTGGTGGCGGCAGGCTTGCAGGCGGCTCGGCTTCACTGGTTGACGGCGGTACTGCGATTCTTATACTAGATGTAGTTACTAGTTCGGCAATATATAAGTGAGGTCAAATATTGTTTTCAATATTCCTGCACAGGGATATATTGCCGGATCTAGCTTTCGATCTCGGTAGTCGAATTTTGGATGCCTTTTGGAAGATTGGCCAGGTGTACTTATCATAATATGCACCTTGCTATACAATTGAGATCATTTGTTAAACTAGATGCGTTTTGTTGTAATTTAGGAATTATCTTTAAATGATATGTATCCGTATATTGTTTCAATGGCTTCTAAGGGTTATCGTTCACATTATTTATCACTAACTAAGGCTTTATAAGATTATTAATTATTGAATTGGACCGTGGCCACAGCGTTTTCAATATGCTTGTCGACAATAGCGCGCTCTTTGAATTGTTTGCCGTGAGCCGTGGACGGTCACGATGATTACGGCGACGCGTTCAGTCGGAGTGCGTGCGGAGCAGCATACTATACACCGACTAACGGTGTCTCGTTACAAGGATGATCAATGTATTTATTCAAAAATTACGGAACTGTTCGTTTTTTAACTTGTGTAAGGGTATATCAGAAGAGACCATAGCATAACATAAATCTTCAAAATAAATGTTATTAGTAGAACTTGATTTAGAACTAGTTGTAATTAATTGTTGTTTTGATAACTTATTTTTAAGTGCTGACACATGGGAAGCTAAAATATAAAATTCAAATAAAAAAATATAGAAAATAGATAAACAAAATATATTTCTATTTTTATAAGTACTGACCTGTTTTTATGTGTTGATCTACCTCAAACTTTCTCTCACAAGTAATAGATTTTCTGCAAGGATTGCAAAATACAATTTTTCCGTCAGTAGTGAAAACTTCGGTGTCTTTGTTTTCTGAGGAAATTCAGTCTCGAATTTTGTTGCAAATCGAACTACCTACTTATTTTCGGCATATTTACAATTTACGGAAAACGACGAAACTAAGTTAACTAAGTCGGTGGTACGTCGATAGCTGACTGATACAGCAAGAGCTATTAAGATTATAGGTAGATACAAACGTTACACAAACGTTTATAGTAATCGATTATTTTCTAATCGTCGATGTAACAGAATGGGGATATCCCGAGTGCGTCCCGTTTTTAATTTTTACCTTTTTCATAGCCCGACTGCGTCCGCAGTCTTATCGATAAATTATATTACAGTGCCCGAGTGCGTCCAATCGACCAATTATAATGAATAAACCGAGTGCGTCCTCGATCCACAGCTGCTATTAGGTACCTATTTAAGATAAACTAATCGAATAAAAACTATCATTTGTACATTTATGACTGTAAAATACTGGACACGGTGGGGAAATTAATTTTAACCCCGATAATAATTTTGCACGATTACAAGTTACAACTTACTCAGTTACGGTCAATAAGTGGTATGGTGAACTTATGTGCGAAGTAGTGCCGTAATATTTAACCAAAAAGTACTGTTAAGACAAATTTACAAATTTTCAAAAATGTCATTGCCCGAAAACATGCTAACCTTTAGCTAAGTGGCCCATAACATTTTTATGTAACCCATAACTATTATTATGTCCCACATAAGTTGTGTCTTGCATAGACAATATTTATGTATTCAATAGCTATGTAAAAGTTTATGTTATAATAGCCATTGTTATCAGGGTTACTATGTTCACATTAGTGAAAATTGATAAGATAACGAATAATAGTATTACTATTATTCGTAATTCAAATTTGTATAATTCTGAATTCATTTTGTTTTCTAATTTAATAAAAATATTTTATATAATGACGAGCAATTCAGAAAAAAATAAACGAGCCCGTGCTCCTAATATTTCTGAAGAGGAAAAATCAATAATATTACACTGCATATCAAAAGAAAGGGACATAATTGAATGCAAAAAAACAGATAAGTTTAGCAACAGGGACAAAAACTCAGCTTGGGAAAGAATTGCTGTTAATTTCAACACTCAATTAGGTGCAAACAAAGTAAGTACCTATATGAATTATACTATATAGGCAAATTAGGTATATTATATCCTATACCTTCTTGTTTAATGTAATATAAAATAAATATTTCTGTTTGTAACTTCCATAATTAATTTGATTTACTGGTGTATTCAACCAATTATTATGATATTACAAATTTGTGATTACTTATTTTTATTATAACTACCTAGTTACAAGCTTCACATCATAAACTTTTAGTAAAATTGTTGTTTTCGCACAACTAATGTAAATAGATTTTAATATACTAAAGTAAAAATAGGTTGTAAATGCGTACCTACATGAGATATAATTTTTTTACCAGAGAGACTCAAAATGTCTTCGCCGTTTTTGGGAGGTTGAAAAAGCCAAAAGTAGAAAAGGATTTGCAAGAGAAAGGAGAGAACACATGGAAACTGGAGGAGGCCCTGAAAAAGAAAGTTTTAATGACAGTACACCAGAAATAAATGAAATATTAGTTCAACCTCAAATTGTGGAATTGAAAAATACGTATGATAGCGATGGAATTGCTCTTGAGCAATCTGGAAACATAACACAAGAACTTATTTCTATATCCCAGACACAAGACTTATTCCCATTAAATGATATAATTATGCATTCAAATATTTTATTAAATGTCAATGCACCAATAACTGATGACACAGGTGAGTATGTCATTAGATTAATTCTTGTTCTAAACTAATTATTGAATTTTCTGATTAAATTATAATACTTAATTATTTCAAAATGTAATAGTAGGTCCAACTACAGAAAAAGAATTTGGTTCATACTTTAACGGTGTTAATGAATCTGAGGAAGCTATAAATTATGATGCAAATATTGTGAATGTTAACCGTAGTGTGCATGAAGAAAACTATAATTCCTTCAATCCTCATACTTCTTCTCCTATTCAAAAATCACCTTTGAAAAATGGTATTATATATTTCCTATTAATATTCCTGTCTATATTATACTTTCCATTTTACCAGACAATCAAAATTTGGGGAATTTTTATTATTTTTTATAAACTGATTTTACTTATAGATTTTTGTCTTTATGTAATTATAACTAATGAGGTAATGAGTTATTGTAATTGATGATATTACCTAGGTACTCATACAATTTTTAAACCAAATGTTTGAATGTTATTTCTTATTTTGGAACAAATTTATTTTATATATTAACCTACCTAATTTTATTTTTTTTGGCCTTTAATGGCACTTTTTGCTCTAATGGAATCAAAAATTTGGTTGTCTGGTAACTTTGTTATTTTATCTATTTATTCTTTGTAGTTCCTTCCACATCAAATTTGTCTAAAAAATCTACTAAACGTATGGTAAGAGAGGAAGCAAATTTAAGATTAAAAAAGCTTAAATCATCTTGTGAATGTGAATCATCTTTATACAAGTTACAGGTATGTTTTTTGTATCAGTAGGAATAGCCAGCAGAATATCAGGAAAATTTTTTTTAAACACTGTCTAATTTACAATCATTGGTCAGATGTCCATACTTTTTAAAGTTAATATACTACATTCCACCTTTTTCATAATTCCATTTAACCAGTATTGTAATGTATTTGAGTAAAAGTATTCAAATAATAAAATAACAAAATATATAATATTATGTAAAAAGCTTCTACTTAATGGCTATTATACTTTATAGTTTATAGTTTATAATTATTTAATTATACGAATATATTTTTACTAATTATTAGTACCTACTACCTAGAGAGCCTTAATATCAAGGCTCTCTACTACTACCTATTTACCAAGAAAATTGTTATCAATAATTATCATTATCGTTTATTATGGACGACGGCAAGCCCTGAAATTTTCAATTTTTCGTACTACGCAATGAATTTTAATTAAACTTTTATAGCCAGTGATGTACACAGATACCGAAGACCCACAAAATCAGTAGGTAGTGATAATAGATAAAAAAAAAACATTATTTGCTACACATTTTCAAATTTTGTAGTACACACTACACTTTTTGTACTACACAAAGTGTGTTGTAGTATACATGATTTGTATTTGAAGTTTATTTCAAATACTTCTGAAAAGTATTTGAGTATTACTGAAATACTTAACTATTTATAGTATTTGGGTGGTATTTTAAATACTTTATTTTAAGAGTATTTGAGTAATTACTTAAATTCTTGTAAAAAGTATTTTTTACAACATTGCATTTAACCTCCTATAGTTTCTATAATTTGAAATGAATACAATTATTAAATGTGTTATGAATATTTATTTAAAATTTTCTTTTCCTATTTACTTAAACTACTTTAATATTAACCAATATTTTTATGTTAAACATACATAATCTAAACTACTTAATTTTAATTTTCAGATAGATTATCAAAAACTTTTAATTGAAGGTTTGATAGCCAAACGTGCAGAAGAAAATGAGTTATTTAAGTTAAAAAAAGAAAAACTTTTATTAAAAATTTGTAATTTAAAAGATCAAAATCAAAAATTTTAAATATATTGTATTATATACAAAACATAAGTTATAAATAAAGTCCTACTAAATATTATTATCAATAAGTGTTACTAATTTGTTTAACCTATTTATTTACTTCTTTAAATTGTATTATTTTTCAAATAAATAAATTTTTTGTTATCACATGTAACAAGTTAAGGAATTTGATAAATATAATGAATATTTTAGTCAAGTGAAATGTCTAATAATGTAAGCTCTCCGAGCAGCTGCACCAATAATCTCTCTATTTTCATCATTAAGAAAATGATTTACTTCTTCAACAGTTTCATCTTCAACAGCAAATTCTGGTAATCTTAATTTTAAACTTATGTTATATAGTACAGCACAAGCTACAATTATTGAAACTATTGTGTTTGGTGAATTAGCTAAACCTCTCCTTAG